TCTAGATGTTTATGGCTAAGAGAATAAATTAATAATGTTTACTAAGTAGAACCAGACTTAGGAGTGTCCAGATATCTCAATATCTGGAGAACAAAGGCATTCCTAAGTTTGCTTTAAGGATAATATCGAGTTGCCTATTGGCATGATGGCTCATGCCTGAAATCTCAGTACTTTGGGAGGCTGAGCCGGGTGGATCTCCAGAGGTCAAAAGTTCAAGACCAGCCTGGCTAACATGGGAAAACCCGACTCTACTAAAAATACAAAAATTGCCAGGGTGTGTTGGTGTGTACCTGTAGTCCCAGCTACTCCAGAAGCTGAGGCAGGAGAATCGCTTGAACCTGGAATGCATAGGTTGCAGTGAGCTGAGATAGTGCCATTGCACTCCAGCCTCGGCAACAAGAGGGGACCTCCGTCTCAAAAGAAAAAACAAAGATAATATTGAGTCTCACAAAATATAGTACTTAAGAAAATTAACTCTTTATCACAAACCCTTGTTGGCAGAGCACATCTCCCCATACATACAAACATTGTACCTAGGATGGATGTGTTCCTCTTCCTCCTTTCAGGAATGTCCCACTTTGCCTGTGGAGTAGCTGTTCTTTCAGCACTTTGCTTTTCTAATAAACTTGCTTTCACTTTGCACTGCAGACTCACCGTGAATTATTTTTTCCACAAGATCCAGGAACCCTCTCTTGGGGTCTGAATCTGAGTCTCTTTCCTCTGACAAAATCAGTAGTAGAAATTTGCCATTTGGATTCAGGTGCAGTGGCTCACTCCTGTAATCCCAGCACTTTGGGAAGCCCAGGTGGGCGGATAACTTGAGGTTAGGAGTTTGAGATCAGCTTCACCAACATGGCAAAACCCTGTCTTTACTAAAAATACAAAAATTTGCCAGGCATAGTATTTGGGCCTGTAGTCCCAGGTACTCATGAGGTTGAGGCAAGAGAATCACTTAAACCCCAGAGGTAAAGCTTGCAGTGAGCCAAAATCGCACCACTGCACTCCAGCCTGCATGACAAAGCAAAACTCAGAACAAATTGCCAACAACAACAACAAAAAGTCCAGGACAAAATAGATTCACAACTCAATTCTGTCAGGCATTCAAAAAATTGGTACCAGTCCTATTGAAACTATTCCAAAAGACAGAAAAAAGGGACTCCTTCCTAAATCATTCTATGAAGCCCGTATCACGCTAATACCAAGACCAGGAAAAGGCATAATAAAAAGAAAACTACACAACTGTTTCTAATGGGCATGAATGCAAAAATCCTCAACAAAAGACTAGCTAACCAATATAGCAGCATGTTAATAATATACACAATGGTTGAGTGCACTTTATGTCAGAAATTCAAAGATTTAATATACTAAGTTGATACATGTAATACACCACATAAACATTAAAAACAAAAATCAGGCCAGGTGCGGTGGCTCAGGGCTGTAATCCTAGCACTTTGGGAGGCCAAGGAGGGTGGATTGCCTGCGGTCAGAAGTTCAAGACCAGCCTGGGCAACATGGTGAAACCTCATCTCTACTAAAATACAAAAAATTAGCCAGTCATGGCGGTTGGCGCCTGTAATTCTGGTTACTTAGGAGGCTGAGAAAGGAGAATCACTTGAATCTGGGAGGCGCAGGTTGTAGTGAACAGAGATTGCACTACTACACTCCAGCCTGGTCAACAGGGCAAGACTCCATCTCGGAAAACAAAAATCATACAATCATCTCAATGTATAAGGAAAAATTATTTGGCAATATCTAGCATCTCTTTATAATTAAAATTCTCAGCAAAATTGTCATAGAGGGAACATATTGTAAGGTAATACAAGTCATCTATGACAGGCCAGGCATGGTGGCTCCCACCTGTATCCCAGGACTTTGGGATGTCAAGGTAGGTTAATTGCCTGAGCTCAGGAATTTGAGATCAGCCTGGGCAACATGGTGAAAGCCGATCTACTAAAAATACAAAAGTTAGCCATATTCAGCTATGTGGGAGGTTAGGGCAGGAGAATCACTCGAACCTAGGAGGTGAAGGTGGCAGTGTGCCAAGATCTCACCACTGGACTTCAGCCTGGGTGACGGAGGGAGACCCTGTCTAAACACTCTTGGTTCAAGTGATCCTTCTGCCTCAGCTTCCTGAGTAGCTGGGACTACAGGCACATGCCACCGCCCAGCTAATTTTTGTATTTTTTAGTAGAGACGGAGTTTCACCATATTGGCCAGGCTGGTTTTGAACTCCAGACTTTGTGATCTGCCTGCCTCGGTCTCCCAAAGTTCTGGGATTAAAGGCATGAGCCACCGCATCCAGCCCAGAATCTTTTTTATTTCAATATAATATAGAAAAGCTAACTATATTTGTAACTGTTAACAGAAAATTTGAAAAAACATCTTTTATTAAAAAACATAAAATGTTTTTCATCTACGAATATTGATACAAAACAGTTCAAAATTACTTCCTAGGAATTTCACTAAAAATGAGTTTGTTAAAGGTTAATATAATTTATGTATAACCAAGACTACTAGGTGTGAGAAAACCAAATTTTTTAGAGATGGCTCTCGCTACGTTGCCCAGGCTGGAGTGCAATGGCTAGTCACAGGCAGGATCCCACTACAGATCAGCACGGGAGTTTTGACCTGCTCCATTTCCGTCCTGGGCCGGTTCACCCCTCCTTATGCAACCTGGTGGTCCCCCGCTCCACGGAAGGTCACTGTATTGATGCCAAACTTAGTGCGGACACCCGATCGGCATAGCTCACTACAGCCCAGAACTCCTGGGCTCAAGCGCTCCTCCCACCTCAGCCTCTTGAGCAGCTAGGACTACAGGCACGCGCCACCACACCTGGCTTAAAAAAATTTTTTTTTTGGCCGGGCGCGGTGGCTCAAGCCTGTAATCCCAGCACTTTGGGAGGCTGAAGCGGGTGGATCACGAGGTCAAGAGATCAAGACCATCCTGGTCAACATGGTGAAACCCCGTCTCTACTAAAAATACAAAAAATTAGCTGGGCATGGTGGCGCGTGCCTGTAATCCCAGCTACTCAGGATGCTGAGGCAGGAGAATTGCCTGAACCTAGGAGGCGGAGGTTGCGGTGAGCCGAGATTGCGCCATTGCACTCCAGCCTGGGTAACAACAGTGAAACTCTGTCTCAAAAAAAAAAAAAATTTTTTTTTCATAGAGAGTGTATAAAGGCCAGGCATGGTGGCTCATGCCTGTAATCCCAACACTTTGGGAGGTCCAGGCAGGGGGGTCATTTTGAGTTTAGGAGTTTAAGACCAGCCTGAGCAACATGGCAAATTCCAGTCTCTACTTAAAATCCGAAAATAAACTTGGCATGATGGCACACACCTGTAATTCCAGCTGTTCCAGAGGCTGAAATCACTTGAAAGGAAAATCACTTGAACCTGGGAGGCAGAGGCTGCAGTGAGCCCAGATCGTGCCACTGCACTCCTGCTTGGGCGACAGAGAAGGATTTCCTCTAGAAAAAAAAGTTAAAAAATTATGAGATCTTAAAATATGTATGAAAGTCTAGAGTGTTCCAAAAGACAAATTTGATGGCCTTAAACAAATTTTTTTAATTATTATTTTTTTTTTGAGATGGAGTTTCACTCTTGTTGCCCAAGACGGAGTGCAATGGCACTATCTTGGCTCACTGCAATCTCTGCCTCCCGGGTTCAAATAATTCTCCTGCCTCAACCTCCCAAGTAACTGGGATTACAGGCATGTGCCACCACGCCCAGCTGCTTTTGTATTTTTAGTAGAAGACTGGGTTTCTCCATGTTGGTGAGGCTGGTCTTGAACTCCCCACCTCAGGTCATCCTCCCGCCTTGGCCTCCCAAAGTGCTGGGATTACAGGCATCAGTCACCACATTTGGCCTTGATGGACTTTAAAAAAATTTTTTAAAAATTGTTTTTGAGACTCTGGAAATACTAAATTTCCATAGTCTCACCGTGTTGCCCAGGGTAGGGTGCAGTGGCACGATTTTGACATACTGCAACCTCCGTCTTCTGTGTTAAAGTGATTCTCCTGCCTCAGCCTCCTGAGTAACTGGGGTTACAGGTGTGTGTCACCATGCCCAGCTAATTTTTTTGTTTTGTTTTGTTTTTGAGACAGAATTTTGTTCTTGTTGCCTAGGCTGGAGTGTAAGATGCGATCTGTGCTCACTGCAGCCTCCACTTCCAGGGTTCAAGCAATTCTTATGCCTCAGCCTCTCAGGTAGGTGGGATTACAGGCATGCACCACCAAGCCCAGCTAATTTTGTGTTTTTATTAGAGATGACATTTCACCATGTTGGTCAGGCTGATCTTGAACTCCTGTCCTCAGGTGGTATGCCCGCCTCGGCCTCTGAAAGGGTTGGGATTACAGATGTGAGCCATTGCGCCAGGCTGCCCAGTTACTTTTTTTTTTTTTTTTTTTGAGACGGAGTCTCACTCTGTCGGCCAGGCTAGAGTGCAGGGGTGCGATCTTGGACAAAGGCATCCTCTGTTTCCCGGGTTCAAGCAATTCTCTGCCTCAGCCTCTGGAGTAGCTAGGATTACAGGTACCCACCACGCCTGGCAAATTTTTGTGTTTTTAGTAGAGAAGGGGTTTCATTATATTGCTCAGGATGGTCTCAAACTCCTGGCCTCATGATCTGCCAGCCTCACCCTCCCAAAGTGGTGGGATTACAGGTGTGAACCCCCGCGCCCAACTGATGGAAATGTTTAATGTTTTATCAAATTAGCTTTAGTATTGAGAATACATTATTACTAAAGTAAAAGTTGATTTTCTCTTGAACAAAAATGTTATGTATTGTTAATATACATAAAATATTTTTGTTCATATGTTTAACACATTAAAAAACAGAAAGCAAAAAAGAGAAGTTTTCCATGCTCTGGCGTGGGCCTGGCTCTGCTCAGGGAGGAAGCCCTTCATGAAAAGGCTGCAGCTTAGGCTGTCGCTCTTTCTTCCTTCAGCCCCGCATGTGATCACATCTTGTCACTCCGGGCCTGAGTAGGCGGGGTCTTTAACGTTATCCAATCAGGGACGTTGGGCTGGGAACTGTCCAATCAGACACACAGCTGGAGTGGACAGGGCGGTTTCCGGGATGTGGCGGGGCCTTTGGCTGCAGCGGGAGCTCCAGGTCTCCTCTTCACTCCTCTGTCTTCTGCTCTTAGAGACCGTTCCTCTGTGGCCCTGTGATCTGCAGGTATTGGAGATCCGCAGCTAAGATGCCAGGACCCCCTGGAAGCCTAGAAATGGTGAGAGTGCTAGACATCCCGAGAGAGGGGAGGGGGTTGGTTGGAACTGGTGGGAAGTGGCTGTGGCAGGACTCTGGTCTCCCTGCAGTCAGCTCCGCAAGCTGCGTCCCGAGTTCTCCTTGCCCAGCTCGGCCTTAAGTTCCCTTCGGTTATAAGATGGCGGCTGCGCTGACAGCCACCCCTGGCGTCCTCTCTTCCTTGCTCAGTGACTGTGCCTTGGCCTAGAGCCCTCTTTGGACATCTCTGCACCCGAAATGCCGCGTCTCTCCCAGATTGTGCAGGGAGCCTGGGAGGGTTTTCAGCGGAGAATCCTGACTCTGGGCGCTGGTTCATGAATGGGAGGAACTTTGGTCAGTGGGGTTCCCAGACCCTCTTTTATTCTATTAAAAATTTACGGGCATCACTGTGAAACTATTTTAAAAATTAATCAAAGAGTGATTCAAAAATTGTAGAGCACCTAGCTGCTGTTCGTAATTTGTCGTCCATGGAAGGAGCTTGAAGGAAAGATTTTTATAAGTTTCATGATAAAGAAAATAAAGTTCAGTAATTGGCTAGGTATAGTTATGTAGTGTTTTATTTTTATTTATTTACTTTTTTTTTTTTCTTTTTGAAACAGAGTCTCACTCTTTTTCCCAGGCTGGAGTGCAGTGGTGTGATCTTGGCTCACTGCAATCTCCACTTCTCTGGTTCAAGTGATTCTTTTGCCTCAGCCTCTACAGTAGATGGGACTACAGGCACCCGCCACCACACCTGGCCAATTTTTTTCTTTTTTTTTTTTCTTTCTTTTTTTGTGGAGAACAGGGTCTCGCTATATCACCCAGGCAGGTCTCGAACTCCTGGGCTCAAGCTATCCTCCCGCCTCTACCTCCCTAAAAGCTGGGATTACAGCCATGAGCCACAGCACCTGACCATTTAAAAAAAATTTTAAAACAAGATTTCACCATGTTGGCCAGGCTGGTCTTGAACTCCTGATGACGTTAGGTGATCCATCCACCTCAGTGTCCCAAAGTTGTGGGATTACAGGCATGAGCCACCATACCCAGCCTAGTTTCTTAATTTATATAATCAAAGTGAAAATATCCTGGTTATGTAATCAGAGCTTAATTGGCAGTTTATAGTTGGTTAAGCCTGAATTTTGTTTCCTCCAATGTAATAATTTACCAAGAAATGCTCTTGAGTTTAGATTTTTTTTTTAGAAGTAGAAATCCAGACACTAGAGCCAACTCGGTCTAATTGCCTGCCACTTAATTATTTTCACACTCCACAGGGGACTGATTTTTCCCTGAATTTTTCACGTGTCCCAAGCAGGACCTCTAGTCCGCACGTCATCCCCTATTCCTCCAGCCTGACTCTGGCTTGCAGTACAATACTAAATTTCCAGCTTCGTCTGATATTCCCAAATGCCAGTTTTCCCTCCCTAATATTTGAGACAGAGTCTCGCTCTGTTGCCCAGGCTGGAGTGCAGTGGCGTGATCTTGGCTCACTGCAATCTCCGCTTCTCTGGTTCAAGTGATTCTTTTGCCTCAGCCTCTATAATAGCTGGGACTACAGGTGCACACCACCATGCCCAGCTATTTTTTTTTGTATTTTTAGCAGAGATAAGGTTTCACCATGTTGGCCAGGCTGGTCTCAAACGTCTGACCTTGTGATCTGCCCACCGCAGCCTCCCAAAGTGCTGAGATTACAGGTGTGAGCCACTACACCCGGCTTAGTTTACATTTTGATACATTTTAATTAATGATTTTTATTTCTTTTTTTTTTTTTTTTGAGACGGAGTTTCGCTCTCGTTACCCAGGCTGGAGTGCAATGGCGCGATCTCGGCTCACCGCAACCTCCGCCTCCTGGGTTCAGGCAATTCCCCTGCCTCAGCCTCCTGAGTAGCTGGGATTACAGGCACGCACCACCATGCCCAGCTAATTTTTTGTATTTTTAGTAGAGACGGGGTTTCACCATGTTGACCAGGATGGTCTCGATCTCTTGACCTCGTGATCCACCCGCCTCGGCCTCCCAAAGTGCTGGGATTACAGGCTTGAGCCACCGCGCCCGGCCCAATGATTTTTATTTCTAATTTTTGAGATGGAACCTTGCTCTGTTGCCCATGCTGGCGTGCAGTGGCATAATCTAGGTTCCCTACAACTTCCGCCTTCGGGGCTCAAATGATTCTCCTGTCTGTCTCGCAAGTAGCTGGAAATACAGGCACCCACAACCACGCCTGACTAATTTTTTGTATTTAGTAGAGATGGGGTTTTACTATGTTGGCCAGGCTGGTCTCGAACTCCTGCCTTCAAGCGGTCCACCCACCTCCACCTCCCAAATATGTTGGATTATAGACGTGAGCCACTGCACCTAGGCAATTAATTATTTTTTGACAAAGCATTTGATGGCACATTTAGAAAGATTTGTTTTCTTTTTGTAAATATTTTCTATGAGAAGAAAGCAAAGAATAATCTCCTGACACTGTATTGCGAAATATCTCTGTGTGTTTTTTTCTATTTTCCCCAGACACAGGTATCTTACAGAATGTTTTTGGGTCAAGTTTTCCTTTTGGAAACTTTATAGGGCGATGTGTCTTCAGTCACCCTTCAGTCTTGGACCTGGGTTTCAGTACTGTATGGTGATAAACCAAGATACCCACCATGGCCCATGGCTATTTCTGCCACAGTGTGTCTAGTGAATATTAGCTTCTATGTCATTTTCTCTCATATGACAACTTGAGGTATTGAGTGTAGCTTCTCAAGTGCACAGGTGAATGCCCTGAGGCTAAGAGACATTTCCTGGTGCATTTCTTTTTAAAGCTAATTCCTTGAGAAATTAATGTTATCTTTACCCAATTCAGCTTTCATTTATTGGAGACACATTGCTGATCAGCCAATCAGATACTAGTATTGAGGAGAAAACTAATTTCTGCCTCCTGGATTCATTTATGGGTCAGAAAAGTAATGCAAGAAAAATAGTAAAAATCTTCTAGAAAAAAAAACCAAACAGCACTTTAAAAGATAAACAAACAAAAAAACTAAAAACTAAACACTGACCCCAGTGAAATGGTGTGAGAACTTGCAGAGTAAAATGTGCCTAAGGCAGTCACTGGGGCATAGTTTAGAGTCTCCTGAGACAGGGGTTATTGAGCACTCAAGTGAGCAGGATGGGGTGGGACAATCTCTCAAGTAATTGGATGGCCTGACTTGACACATGAGTAAGACTTATCTGTACCTTGAAAAGGTTTGTTTACCTATTTTGATCTCAGTTTTTTGTTTGTTTATTTATTTTTGAGAGTTTTGCTCTGTCACCCAGGCTAGAGTACAGTGGTGTCATGGCTCACTGCAACCACTACCTCCTGGGTTCAAGCAATTCTCCTGCCTCAGCCTCCCCAGTAGCTTGGGTTACAGGCATGCACCACGACGCCTAGCTAATTTTTGTATTTTTAGTGTTTTCACCATGTTGTTCAGGCTGCTCTTGAACCCCTGACCATATAATCCTCCCGCTTTGGCCTCCCAAAGTGCTGGGATTACAGACATCAGCTACCACTCCCAGTCATTTTTTTTTTTTTTTTTTCAAAGAGAGTTTTTCTGCATTACCCAGGCTGGAGTACAGTGATGAAATCTCAGCTCACTGCAACCTCCAAATCTTGTTAGGTGATTCTTATGCCTCAGCCTCTCAAGTAGCTGGACCTACAGGTGTGCAAGACCACACTCAGCTAGTTTTTGTATTTTTAGTAGAGATGGAGTTTCACCATGTTAGCGAGGCTGGTCTCAAACTTCTGGCCTCAAGTGACTCACCTGCCTGGGCCTTCCAAAGTGCTGAGATAACAGGTGTGAGCCACTGTGCCCAGCTAACCTCAGTTTTTTAACTGTATATTGTACTTTATTAGTAGAGCTTGAAAGGTAAGCAAATATTTACAAAGACCATAAAAGAGGTGAGTTTAAAAAGTTAATATCTAATAATATATTTGTTTAACATTTGTATTTACCTTTTTCTTTCTCAGAGTGAGTTTGGAAATTTCCTCGGATGTGTTTTTTGTGACTGAGCGATTTCGAGCAAAATTCCATCTAGCTTTTAGAATGGTAGTTACCAAGGAAAAAAATGTATAATGAGAATCTGTCTTCAATTTCAGCTATAGACAATGAATACATTTCCACAAAAAACGTATGGTAGATAATTGGTGAGTTACATAGATTCCTGAAAACTTCATTTCCTTTTTTTAGCAGGGTACATTTCTGACAGTGAATATTTTTGTTCTATAGCCTGTTTTTTCTTTTGTTGTTGTTTGTTTTGTTGTTTTTTGAGATGGAGGCTCACTGAGAGGCCCATTCTGGAGTACAATGGGGCAACCTCAGCTCACTGCAACATCTGCTTCCTGGGTTGAAGCCATTCTCCTGTCTCAGCCTCCCAAAGTAGCTGGGACTGCAAGCACACATCACCACGCCTGGCTGATTTTTGTACTTTTAGTAGAAACAGGGTTTTTACCATGTTGGTCAGGCTGTTCTCAAACTCCTGACAACAAGTGACTTGGCCACCTCGGCCTCTTAAAGTGCTGGGATTATAGGCATGAGCCACTGCGTCCTGCTGACTGATTGTTTACTGCATGGTTTTTGATAGAAATAATAATACATTTATTGTCTGAAAGGAATACTTTTGCTTTTCTTACTGAGATATAAAATGTAAGCATCTTAAAAATTTCTTCCCTTGGCTGGGCGCGGTGGCTCACGCTTGTAATCCCAGCACTTTGGGAGGCCGAGGCAGGTGGATCACGAGGTCAAGAGATCGAGACCATCCTGGTCAACATGGTGAAACCCCGTCTCTACTAAAAATACAAAAATTAGCTG